CCCCACCTGAAGGGAAGGGAGGCGTCGGGGGCTCCCCCCGCCCTGTCCTGGAGGACCGGGTCAGGCATTGTTTTCTAGCCTATTGTTCCAGTCCCGCGCCCCCCACCCCAAGTTGAGGGAGTTTGGAGACAGTCTAGGGGGCAATGAGTACACTCTCCGCGTCCCGAACCGCCAGTGTCGGGGCTGTTGCGTGAATGTTTACCATCGAGGTGTCCCCTCCTGCCTGGTTATTTTGGTCCGGGCTCCCTGAGGGAGAGGTCAAGGGGGAGTCATCCCCCCTCCCGCTTCCGGATACTGGGAGGAGCGTATTGGGAAGGGAGGAGAAGGGTCCCAGGGGAGAGGGGACTCCTAAAATCCTCCGGGGAAGAGCTGTGCATAGGGGAGAGGTTGTGCAGGGGGCCGGAATCGAGAAGAGGGCGGTTTGGAGTTTTCCCCAGCAGCACATGGTTCGGAGTTAACTCCTTGAGGAATCTTGCCGAGGGCGCAGGCTGGCATCTCCCGCCTGTCTGGCACAGCCAGCTGCCCACCCCACCCCCTTACTGGGACAGCCCTTAAGGTTCTAGCTGTTGGCTCTTCCCGCCACTCTCCTGTAGGTTACCTGTGCTGCACCTGCCCTCAGCCTGGACTTTTTACATGCCCTATTATAGTTAGAGGTAGAAGATAATGTCCCTGGACCCCCAACTTTTCGACTCTTATCTTACTGGCCCTTTAAGAAACGCACTCCCCCCCCCCATAACAACACAACTGTGTTCGATTATGTTAATGTTGTCCCTCTAGTTTTCTCTATTCCGGATGACCTCTGGCAGAAGCTGGGAAACGGGTCCAGAAAGGGAGGGTCTTCTAGAGTTTAAGGTCAAGGACTCAGACTTCCTGCCCCTGCTTGGAGTATTTGGTTGTGTGGTTAAAGGCTGGCCTGTGCCCACTGGGCATTCTTTGTGGCCCTGCTCGCTAGTGAGTGAGCCCCAGACGGGGGAGCAGCCCCCCCTACTAGAAATGGCTGTAGTCCTTTAGAGTCACCCTCTTTCCCCACTTACTCTGGGAAAAGCTACTGCTGATAGATTTGCTCTGTGACTCTCCTCCTCCACCCCTAGCTTGCTATGGCATCGTCCAGGTGCCAACGGGACCCTGGTTCTGCCGGAAATGCGAATCTCAGGAGCGAGCAGCCAGGGTGGTGAGTTTGACACTCCCCTCCCCCTAGACCCATACACCTGAGCATCTCCCCTGGTTAAGCTAGGGAGACTCAGAGCTAGAGCTAACACTAGGGTAGGACTGTCACACAGGACTTCCTGTTTCCTGCACACCTATCACCAACCCCATCTCACCCTCAGCTCATCCCTCACTCAGCCCCACCTCAGGCAAGAGGCCTTTTATTTTTGTTTGCTTATTTGTTCGAACTTTTATTATGGAAAGTTTCCAACCTGTACAAAAGTAGAGGGAATACTATAAGGAACTTTATGTTCCCATCACTTCAACAGTTACCAGCTCGTGGCCAATCCTGTTTCTTCTATACCCCAACTCATTCCCCTATAGACAGTTTATCATTTCCTCCTGGGGCCCGTTGAATGTGTTTGGGGGGGCAGATCAGATCTCCACCCCTTTGGAAAGGCCCCCCTTAATCCCTGTGCCCCCTTGCATTGGCAGAGGTGTGAGCTGTGCCCACACAAAGATGGGGCATTGAAGAGGACTGACAATGGAGGTGAGGGGAACCCTGAGCTCCTGGGCTCACCTGCTGAGGTCAGCAAGGCCCCCTGAGCTGTGTCTGGGAAGGCAGGAATGTGTGTGTGTGGCAGGGGGTGCTTGATTTCCCTTTCCCAGCTGGCACTGGAATCTGATGGGAAAGCTATAGAGGACGGGACTGTCTGCGGTGTGGGGCTGTGAGGGGTCAGGGTCTCGGGCTTGCCATAGCAGCTGAGGCCTGCCCCACATTTCCCCAGGTTGGGCCCATGTGGTGTGTGCCCTCTACATCCCAGAGGTGCAGTTTGCCAATGTGCTCACCATGGAGCCCATCGTGCTGCAGTATGTGCCTCATGATCGCTTCAACAAGGTCAGCGGCCCCTGCCATGCCCTCATACTAGTTCCCTCCCTCGCTGGGTCCCTCCACCTCTCCATCCAGTATAATTTGATTCTGTCCAACAGATACTTTCAGGGAATTCAGGAAGTGAGTAGGCACCTTTCACTGACAGACATGCTTATTCAAGTACTACCAGAGTTGATCTTAGCAAGCAGTTCATTCGTTCATGCACTAAACAAATTTTACTGAGTGCTTACTATGCGTCAAACTTGGGGCAAGGGACCACCAGGCACACAGTATTCAATACTGATCGAAACAGATGTGCTCCCTCCCCCATGGAATTCACACTCTTGTGTGAGAAGACTGTAAATATCAATAAACGGGCAAATAAAGTAAATGCAGTTCGTGGTAAGTGCTGTGACGAAAACAAGGCACTGAAATAAAGAATACCTCGTCGGGGGCTTTCTTTAAATAAAGTGGTAAAGGGAAGAGACATTTAGGCTAAGAGCTGGAGGATGAGAAGGGGCCAGCCTTGAGGAGGGTGGGTTCCAGGTACTAGTCAGAGGTGAGAATGAGCTCACCAGGGAGCAAGGCAGACACAGTTGCTGACCTTACAGGGCTCACCATCCAAGAACTGTGCTAGCCATTATTTTAGCCATCAGCCACATGTGGCTATATAAATAAAGTGAAATACTGCTTAAAATTCAGTTCCTCAGCCACATTTCAAGTACTCAATAGCCTATATGGTTCATGGCTACTGTATCAGTGCAGTATAGAACATTTCCATCATCACAGAAAATTCTGTTGGATAGCGCTAACCTAGGATAATGGGGAAAGGATGGAATTGAGGGGTCCCTTAGGTGGAAAGGAGGAAGGAACGATTGTGCTGTGTCCTGCAGACATGTTACATCTGTGAGGAGCAGGGCCGGGAGAGCAAGGCAGCCTCAGGAGCCTGCATGACTTGTAACCGGCACGGATGTCGACAAGCTTTCCATGTCACCTGGTGAGACCCCTACCTGCCCCTATGCCTCCCTCTCCAGGGTTCTCTGAGATCCCAGGCCAGCTATATCAACCCCCTCTGAGATTTGCCATGGACGGCCACCCATGGCTCATCCTAGCTGCTGTCTCCTTGGTGATTAGGACAGTGCTTTTTCTTGGATGGTCTTGGCCTTTCCCCAGCAGGGCCCAGGAGGGTAGAAGGGAAGAGGTTGGTCTGGTTTGTGGCCACACCCCTCTCAGGCTGACCTCTCTTGGTTAGTGCCCAAATGGCAGGCCTGCTGTGTGAGGAAGAAGTGCTGGAGGTTGACAATGTCAAGTACTGCGGCTACTGCAAATACCACTTCAGCAAGATGGTGAGTCTCGTCTGCCAGGGCGTGAATGGGTCAGTCAGCCATGGTTTAGAGGGCATGGGCTCTGGGCCAGGCTGGTGCCTGGTGCTGAGAAGACAGAGATGGAAGGATCCCAATGTCCCTGCGCTTGAGGAACTCCTCATTGAATGAAGAATAAATTGAACTATAGCCTGAGGAGTGTGCATCAGAGTTAAACTAGGCAGTTCACCCAGAAGAGAGAGCTCAGACCCTGCCTGTCAGTCTGGGAGGCTTCAAGGAAGAGGTAGCACAGAAGCTAATGGAGGTGGGAACAATAAGAGCCAACATGGGGTGGGGGTTTATTGTGCCCCAGCCTGTGTACTAAATTCTTTACATGCATTATTTTGTATGATCCTCCCAACAACCCTAAGAACTAGATGTACTGTATTTTCCCATTTTACAGATGAGTAAACTAAGACCTACTGAGGTTATGTAACTTAACTTACAGCATGTATGGGGTTTGAACAGGGAGTTTGATATGAAAGCTCCTTAGGAGCCTGCCAAGCAAAGACAAAGAGGAAGGAACTCCAGGCAGGGGGACTGGCATGGGCCAAGTCCTGAGAAGAGAAAGGATTTTGTGAGTAGCAGAACAGGGTGTTTGGTGGAGACAAAACAGGAGATGAGGCAGAAAAGTTCAGGCAGGGCCAGAGCTGGGCTTCCTTCTGCCCCAGGCTTCAGGGAGCCAAGGAGAGGCTGGAAAAGGGGTACTATCTCATGTTTGTGGAAAGACCTGTGTGTTCCAGAAGCTATGGAGTGTCCTGGAGAGGTAGGCTGTGGCCTGACTAGGATTGCAGCTTGGACCTCACCCGTAGGCCACAGGTTTGCAAGGCTATTTGTAAGCGGGAGGGTAACGTGATCAGATTTGTTTTTTAGGGAAGATTACCCTGGCAGGCACGAGGAAGCTGGATCCAAAGGGCCAAGGCTGGTGGCTAGGAGACAGCTGCAGAAGGGGGGAATGGAGGGATAAAGCTGAACATTTCTAGATAGACTTGCCTATGTGTGAGGGTAGCTGAGAAAGAAGGGGTTGAAGGTGATAGGATCCAGGCTCTCAGTGCTGGTGGATGGGGCTTGAGCACCTGTGGGTGCTGTGAACGGGTGCAGCAGGCTTGTGTAGGATTAGCATCTGTCCTGGTCTACCCCCCACAGTCCTAGTTTGTGTCTGTTGCCCTGGTGTAATTATTAATAGTTCCCCCTTTCATTTTCAACTGTGTCCTGATTTGGATCATAAGTTACATGTTCACCTTGGTTTCAGAGTTTGATTATGACTTAGGATAAGGTAGGGAGATCAGTTTGGTTTATAGGAGGTGCCAAGTGAGAATATTCAGGTTTGGTGGCTGTCAGACCCCCAGGCAGGGTAGTAATGCCAGTCCCAGGTATATAAGCTAGGGCTGGAATTCCCAGGTGCCCATCATGGTAGGGTGAGTGAAGGTGTGAAGGGAACCATGAATGGGAGAGTCTTAAGAGCTTGGCATGGTAAGAGCAGTGCCCAGGGGAGCGATTGGGTCAGATGAGGTCTGAAATTAGTCCTTGGATTTGGCAATTGGGAGGTAGTGGGTGACCTTAGAGGGAGCAGCTGCAAGTCTGGGACAGGCGAAGCCATCACACTGGTTAGTGGGGAGTCTTAGCAGTGAAGGAAGGAGCAGGCCGTGGCTGGGAGAAGAGGCAGCATGAGGGTCATTTGGGGTTTTGCTGTGGATGTTTACTTCCCCCCTTCTTCAGGACAGCAGTCCTTTGGGACAGAAGGAACCACTGTGTTTGCTGGAGGGGGCAACTAAGAACAAGGGAGAAGGGCTGATGGCTAGGGTGAAATGTCTGGAAGGAAGGATGGGGTGTGGAGTATAAAGGAGCAGTCGCTGCCACAAGGGTCCCCTATACACCCTCTACCCCGGGAAAGGAGGCACAGGTGGGCCTTGGCTCATGTTGCCAGAGGTGGGCCAAGAGGGCACTGTGGAAACAGGTGGGTGACGAGCAAGGACCTGGGCCCCAGTTCTAGCTCCAGCATGCCTTGCTGTAGCCAAAACACCCTTGTCTCTTCTGGGCCTGAGTTGCCAAATCTGTGTACTGGATGAGCTGGGGAAGCTCTAAGGAATGTCCTTCTGTTGAGCAGAGCATCACTGAGAATACAGGGTCCTTTTAGTGACGGGCAGAACAGGGGGTCTGGTCCCCAGGATCACGACCTTCAGGAGCCTTTTTCTAAGCTAATGAGAGGAGAGTTTGGCAACTCCTCTCAATTCTCTCCCCAGAAGACTTCCCGGCACACAAGTGGGGGAGGTGGAGGAGCAGCAGCAGCAGGAGGCAGCAGCGGCACAGGGGGAGGTGGCAGTGGCTTCATCACTGGCCGGAGCAGGTCAGCCTCACCATCCACCCAGCAGGAGAAACACCCTTCCCACCATGAGAGGGGACAGAAGAAGGTAAAGTCTTCTCCCTCTACCTGTCCTGCCACACTCACAAACTCATACCTCTTTCAAGAAGCTACCACAAGGTGCTCCCAAGGCCTTGGGGCCTGTCCCCTTCCTTCCTCTGAGGCCACTGAGGGCAGGGAGGGGGCTAAGGAAGTGACATGGGAGGATCACAGAGGGTGACGTGAGGGCCTGGCTTCCATGGGGCTCTTTGTGTTTGTGTGGCTCCTCCAGTGTCCCCATACTCCCCAACACATGGCCCTGCACATTTGCACACATCTCCAGTCTAGCCTTGTGTTAGCCCAGTTTGTAAGTGTACATGCCTGAGTGCCCCTGTGCCTCATGTCACAGTATACCTGGCTCCCATCCCTCTGCACGGTTCCGTGTCCCCAGTGGACACCCTTGCAGGTGTGTGCTCATGTGTGTGGTGCTCTGTGTCACTGGTGTGATAACGGGACAGGCTATTTTTAGCAGGCAGAATGGATGAGGGGCTATTGACTCAGAGGAACTTGCCTGAGGCACTCCTGTCCAGTCAAAGTCCCCCAGTTCCTCCATAGGGGGAGATGACACCCACAACGCCCATCTTTGAGAGGGGTCCACTGCCCACATCCCCATATCATCGTCACCCCAAATGCTTCCCAACACCAATATCTGCTCACCTGTCCTTCCCCAGAGTCGAAAGGACAAGGAACGCCTTAAACAGAAGCACAAGAAGCGGCCTGAGTCACCTCCCAGCATCCTCACCCCACCCGTGGTACCTACAGCTGACAAGGTACTGCTGCCCACACCCAGGAGGGATGGCCACAGCAGCAGGGGAGAGGCAGGGTGTGAAGGGTCAGGGTGAGCCAGGGACCTGGGCATCCCCCACAGCTTCAGGTTAAGGTGCCTCTGCTCCCCACCTCAACCCCCTCTATACCATAGCCCCACCAATCACCAACCCAGGAGGTCAGGGGTGTGTGGGGGTTACCACCCTGCCTGTTGGCTGCCAGATTTTCACATCTGCCTTTGTCCAAACACAGAGCTTCAGCACTGGGCTCTTGTCTGTGAATACAGTACTCAGGCCAGTTCTCCAAGCTACAGCCCATTCCTCAGAGATAGGTAGAGAGGACCCCTTCTCTCTCACCCCTCCCCTTGCACCTCTCCCTCGTGTCAGGAAGACACCCACAGCATGTGACCTAACCAAAATCCTACTCTATGCTTGTTGGAGGGACTGAAAGTGTAGCCCATGGCAGGCCCTGACAACACCTTGGACCTCCTGATCATCCCATCTTCCCAGGAGGGGCATGGTATGTCAGGCCTGTCTCCAGAAATGGGTAACATCAGGATAAACAAATGGCAGGCCCTACCCGACGCCAAGGAGTCACTAATCCAAGCCAGAGCAGCCCTCTCTGCCCCTCCTTCCAGCTGCCTGCCCTCCCCAGGGAATGTGAACAGGGGCCCCCGGAGAAACTGCTTCCTCCTGTCACCATTATTGCTCCATTCACTTCCACTGCCTAAGGAGGTTGGCAGAGCTCTGGGCATCTTAGCAGGAGGCTCCGGTATCAGGTTTCTAGGGGGATGTTGCTGTGGCAACTGCCCCAGTAACCCCTCTCCTTGCCCTGCTTTCCAGGACTCACCTGGAAAAGCTTGTCATCTCTGCCCTCTGACCTTTCCCTGGGGCCTGCAGACAGGTGGAAAGAGAGGGCCAGAGATCTGGGAGCCCCTCAGTGGCTGGGTATCCCCTTGGGCATGTTGGAGCACTCTGCTCATCCCCTCCACCCGCCCAGCATTTCAGCTCCCCCCCTCCCCCCTCTCTCCCTTGCTCTCCGAACCACATCTGGCTCCCTTCAGAACTCCAGCTGTTGAAAAGAACAAAGAGGAAGAGGAGACAAGGGCTCCCCCCAGGGAGGGCAGCGCAGGGTGGCTCTCATTCTCCCATCCATCCTCCCTCTGGCATTTGTTGGTTTGTCTGCTGAGTACCCGGTCTCCACCAGGAGGAAAAGCCCTGTCCCTAGCAGTAATACAAACTCTAACTCAGTCACCACATGCCAGCCTCTCTTCTAGAACGGGATCTACGGGATGTGTAGGGATCAGCTCATTTAATCCTCAGAACAGTCCAATGAAGTAGGTATTTTGTTAACCCCATTTAATAAATGAAGAAACTGAGGAAGAGAGATTAAGTAATTTGCCTCAAAGTGCACAGCTAGTAAGTGGTAGAATCAAGATTTGAACCCATGCAGTCTGACTTGAAGGCCTGTACTCTTAACCACCACAGGTACTGTCTCTGCATTATATTAACAGCATCAGAATCATCATTATTGTCCCCACACTATGTATCTGGCATTATGCTCCTCGTAATTCTCCAAATAGGCATAATTAGCCCCGTATGGACACTGAAGCTCAGCAAGTTTGAGAGGCCATGCAACATAAACATGGCAGTAAATGCAGAGCCCACCAAAGCCCATCCTCCAACCCCTGCCCTGCCACCCTCAGAGAGGTTTCTGGGGGCCCCAAATATGGGAACAGTATATTTCAGTATAGTGTGGCAACTGTTGACATGGCTGATGGGGGTACATAATGCCCTGGAAATAAAGAAAACAGAGTGACTTATTCCACCCCAGGTGTCCAGGGTGGCTTCATGAAAGAGGGGACTTCCAAGTTGGATTTTGAAGGAGGAGTTTTCCAGGAAGAATAAGAATAGGCTCTCCTGGCAGAGGGCTTGGTACTGCAAACTCAGGCTGTCTAGGAAAGGCGCAGAATGGCCAGGGAATAGGGTGTCAACAAGGTGGCTGCAGCTTGGGGTGAGCAGGGACAGAACGGTGGTGACTGAAGGGCCCAAGGATACAGCCAGGGCAGCCCTCTTTCCTGCCCACACCCCTTCCCAGCACAAGTCCGGCAAGTATTTCTTAAACAAATGAATGAACAAATGAGTATATCAGTAAGACTCTGGGACTGTTTTATCTCTCTCCTACCTGAGGTGAAGGATAGACAGCTTCTTGGGTTCAGAGTGCTTACCTCTCCTCATACCCAGAAGTTCCACAGCTGCTTCCCCATCTTCCTAGCCTAGGGACTCCCACCACCATCTCCCTACCCAGAAGTCTTCCCTGAAGCTAATTCAGGACCCTCCCAGTAGAGCCCAGGTCCTGTGTGCTCCTGCTCCACTCCCAAGTCAGGGTGAAGCCAGGCCCAGGTAGCTGGTCTCAAGCCTTCCTCTCTCCTTTCTCCTCCCTCCTTCAGGTCTCTTCCTCAGCTTCCTCCTCCTCCCACCATGAGGCCAGCACTCAGGAGACCTCTGAGAGCAACAGGGACTCAAAGGGGAAAAAGTCTTCCAGCCATAGCCTGAGTCACAAGGGGAAGAAGCTGAGCAGTGGGAAAGGTGTGAGCAGTTTCACCTCCGCCTCCTCCTCCTCTTCTTCCTCTTCTTCTTCCTCCTCTGGGGGGCCCTTCCAGCCTGCAGGTGAGTGTGGGCAGGTGAGCCTCCTGGAGGAGGCTGGGAATGGGACAGCCTTTAGCCCTCAGCTTTTGTAGCAAGGGCCTTTGCTTATTAGTTTGCATCTCATTTGCTTCTTAAATTGGTTCAGGTTAAAGATGGAGGATCCCCACCAAATTATATTTCTCCAAACCCTCCCCTCAACCCTTCCCTTTTGAGTAGAACTCTTCTCTCCTCCCACTTTATCATAAGTGGGGAAGCTGGGGTGGGGGGGTCACTCATCCCAGGACAGAGACAGTGGCAGAGCTGGGACTAGAAACCAGGTTTCCCCATCACCTGACCAGAGAGAGAGTTCTCTCTCACTAGTGCACATTGGGAGTGGGAGGGAGGGAGGGATCTGGGATCCAGCTGTAATTCTGTTTTCCTTCTGTGCAGTTTCGTCCCTGCAGAGCTCCCCTGACTTCTCTGCTTTCCCCAAGCTGGAACAGCCAGAGGAGGACAAGTACTCCAAGCCCACAGCCCCTACCCCTTCAGCTCCCCCCTCTCCCTCAGCCCCTGAGCCCCCCAAGGCTGACGTCTTTGAGCAGAAGGTGGTCTTCTCTGGCTTTGGACCCATCATGCGCTTCTCCACCACCACCTCCAGCTCAGGTCGGGCCCGGGCCCCATCCCCTGGGGACTATAAGTCTCCCCATGTCTTGGGGTCTGGGACCTCAGCAGGCACCCACAAGCGGATGCCCACACTGAGCGCTGCCCCTGCGCCTGCTGAAGAGACCCCTGAGACAGGCCTGAAGGAGAAGAAGCACAAAGCCAGCAAGAGGAGCCGACATGGGCCAGGACGTCCAAAGGGCAGCAGGAATGAGGAGGGCGTTGGGGCCCCAGCTGCTCCCTCCCTGCCTGGTGCCCAGCTGGCTGGCTTTACTGCCACTGCTGCCTCACCCTTCTCAGGAGGTTCCCTGGTCAGCTCTGGCCTGGGTGGTCTGGCCTCCCGCACCTTTGGGCCTTCTGGGAGCCTGCCCAGCCTGAGCCTGGAGTCCCCCCTGCTAGGGGCAGGTTAGTAACCTTTTGGGATGTGGGGCATCTGAGGGCCCAGGAAGGCTAGTGCTGGGATATAGGGATAAGCATGCAGTTAGAAGGAAATGTGATAGAAACTACTACAAAGGATAGAGATAAAAGATGGAAGTGACAGTCACTGCTAAGACTCTTCCCCGTACCCATCTTCTGCATGGTTGTAGTAGGAGAGATTGAGTTGTCAGTAGGACATGAAGAGTTTTGGTTGGGGTATTAGAAAAGCTGGGAATTCCTGGGCAGGGTAGTCTAAGTAGTCATGTCAAGTAGATATCACCCAGGCAAGAAGTGACATCTTTGCAGCAATTAGGTAGGTAAACTGGTGTGTGTGGCCAGATCCAGGGAGTGTTCCCCTGCTTCCTGAGCCACCTGACTGGGGGGGCTTGGGGAGTGGTGACTGTATGCTTCCCTCTGTGTCCTTGTGCCTGTAGGCATCTACACCAGTAATAAGGACCCTATCTCCCATGGTGGTGGAATGCTGCGGGCTGTCTGCAGCACCCCCCTCTCTTCCAGCCTGCTGGGGCCCCCTGGGACCTCTGCCTTGCCCCGTCTCAGCCGCTCCCCATTCACCAGCACCCTCCCCTCCTCTTCTGCTTCTATCTCCACCACTCAGGTGAGGACTTACTCCTGTGCTCCTCCATCCCTGGGCAGGTGGGGGACAGGTTGCCAAAGACCCCAGCCCTCCAATGGGAACTTGAGATATTGGACTTGATCACCAGAACTTCTCCCTCTTTCTGGTCCTCTCTCCTCCCTAGCACACCTGGTCCCCTCCACCTGGTAAGCACAGTTGTGCCCTAGATCCAAGAATAACCACCAGGCTGGACTCTACCTCCTTTCCCTCAGGTGTTTTCTCTGGCTGGCTCTACCTTTAGCCTCCCTTCTACTCACATCTTTGGAACCCCCATGGGTGTCGTTAACCCCCTCCTTACCCAAGCCGAGAGCAGCCACACAGGTATGTGAGTCTCTGACCCCATTCCCTTCTTCCCAAAGGTCTGAGGGGCACCCATCACCTGCATGTCACCCCCCAAAAAAGGATGGGAGGGCTTTCTGGCTGCCCCCTCCCTCTAGCCATTGCCCACCCTACGAAAAATTTTTTTTCACACACAACAAACCAGGATACACTTTCACCTGCCCCTGGTGAGGGGTTGGGGCAGGACAGGGAAGAATTACTCCATCTCACAGGAGAAAGGCAGATTAATGCTCAAGGCAGTTGAAGTAGAGAAAGGCAGAGCTGGAACTCAAATTCTGGGCCCCGAACTCTAATCCCAGTTCTCTTACCGCCGCAGTATAGCTCCTAGCTGGCTTCACAATGAGTCTTTGGGAATCAGCGGGTACAGAGATCACACCAGCTGGGCAACCTGCTCTCAGGGTATATAGGAGTTAAAGGGGCGGGTCACAAGCGCCCCACCCTCTCCCTTGAGAGTCAGCCTAGCCCCAAAGAGCTGATTGGTGCAGATACACCACCTGGCCAGCTAGGGGGCGGGGCTTATCACCCCGCCGCTAGGTAGGCCTTAAAGATACCGAATCCAGAATTTAAGACCCGTCTCAGTAGACTAATTTACCCCCCCACAACTCAAATCGGAATTCTGTGTCCCAACCAAGGGCTTTGCCATCTAATTTGTGGGTTTATGAATATAAATGGTCATACAAAACATAACAGCTACAATTGTTAAGGGCTTCTTGCATGCAGCTTAACATTTCACATTTATTACCTTATTTTAATTCTCATAACAGTCACTTCAGAGGTTAGTTTCAACCCCAAATCCAGAGCAAGTATCAGGTCCAAGTTCAACCCAGGACTGTCTCGACTCAAAATTTCTATAGCATTAAGCTTCCAGGAAAGAAATTGGGAGGTGGATCTGAAAGTAGCCAGGCAGCGGGAGTCTTTCTGCTTAGAGAAGGGAAGAGACCAGATCCATGGCTTTACCTCCCAAGGGTTTCCATACCAGGGTTCCCAGCGCCTCATGAGCTAGAACTGCCAGTCTGGGGTTCGGAGATCCTGGGGAAAGAGGTCTGCTGTAAGGTTCCAGATCCCATACCCACTTCCCAGGGGGGGACCGTGAGGCCAACTGGCACCCTTTCCCCGCTGATCCCTGCCCTCCCTTCTCCTTCCAAGAGCCAGACCTGGAGGACTGCAGCTTCCGGTGTCGGGGGACCTCCCCCCAGGAGAGTCTGTCTTCCATGTGAGGGAGGGGGCGGCGGCTTCGGGGAGGGCCTGGGAGCGGGGCTGGGGAAGCACTCCGGGAGGAGGGGGCGGAGAAGGGGGCACCTGAAGAGGGTGGGGTCCAGAAGGGGATGACTGGAACCCCTGAGGTGGGGAGGGGAGGAAGAGGGAGACAGGAGTGGTAGGTAAGCCTGAGCCCGGTATTCCCTTCTGACCCCAGGTCCCCCATCAGCAGCCTCCCTGCACTCTTCGACCAGACAGCGTCCGCACCCTGTGGGAGCGGCCAACTAGACCCAGCAGCCCCCGGAACGACTAACATGGAGCAGCTGCTGGAAAAGCAGGGCGACGGCGAGGCCGGCGTCAACAGTGAGGAGGGGGGCTCAGGGCTGGGAGACCTGCCCTAGGACCCCCAGACTCGGTCCCCTTTTCCCTAAAGTCCCCAAACATCTTTAAGGTTCCTCTCCTCGCCCTACCCCAGCCCTAACTCTTGCGAACCTCAGCCTCACCTTTAGCTCTTTGTAGGCCCTGTTCCTGGCTCCGCAGCCTCTGCACCCTGCTTTTGGCCCTCCCGGACTCCTTGTTAAGCCCAAACTTCCGCCGGTCTCTTCCCTCCCAATCACAAGGCCTCAAACCCAGCCTCAGGCCCCGCCCCTGGTCCTCACACCTGCGGCTCCCCAGGTCCCGCCTTTCCTAGCTCACCTGAATGCCTTGCTTGCCCGCGCCTTCTTTTCTAGGTTTCTTTTGGATTTCCTCCGCCAGGCCCCGCCCTCTATCCCCTGACCCCGCCCC